CCGTGGCGCGGGCCTGCCCGGGCCCGTCACAGCCGGAGCGCGGCCGTTCCCTGCCTCTCTCGTTATCGCAGCACGGCGTGGCTTCACAACCGTTGTTGCAAGAGGAGTGCGTGCCGCCGAAGTACAGCAGCTCGCTTACCTGAGCCGCCTTTTTCGCGGTTAGCTTGAGTGCTTTCTGCGGTCATCCAAGTCGCTGGCTGAGGGTTTTGGCTGCCATTCTGAGTTGGTTAGGAAAAACAAAACAATAGGATGTTTTTCCAAAGTAAACAATCAAGCTACAAGTGAAAAAGGAGTGTTATACCAGGCTAATATTTAAACACTATTTAAAAAATATTTTTTTTTCAGTGTTCTTACAGAAAATATTTGTCATAACAGTGTCACCATCACTTTGAGGGAGGGAGATTCACAATTGTGGACATTACATGAAAGAAATATGCCAAACCCTTTATTGTAGAAAAGTTGTTTTTATTCCTTAAATTCTGATTTATTTTGCTCAAGATCGCAAAAGCAGTCTGTTACAGACTACCCTAATTGAAAGGACATTTTGGAAGTATTGAACGTGGCACGTTGATGATGTCACTGCCAGTGGCTGCTGCTTTAAAGTAAGGACTGAGTGCGGTGGATCGGCCGTGCGTCACACCAAGGCTTCTTTGTCCATCGTTGCTTTGAACCCAAGGGTGCTGCTCGTTTCAAATTGCAGCACCGAATTTGTCATCGTAGAGCACAGAACATGTGAATCTTATTTATGGTGTGGCATGTGGCAGTACCAGCAGCACTGACACGCTGTGGTTTTCATACCGTTTATTCAGACAAAACACTAAAGATGCTGAGCTGCGCCATAGCCTGCCTTCTGCTGCGGTTACCTGGTAGACATTCTCTCAAGCTCGGCGTCAGCTATAGCTGGACCACACGTGGCACAGGACTTGACTGATGACAGTAAAAAGGTCACGTCAGGGATTTCCACACGCGGTTTAGGCAGAAGAAAACTCTGATGCACCATTTTCACTTCACTCACGTGAGTTGCTTTTTTGCTTTAGGCCTGGCTAGACTATCCTGTGGATAGTTGCTGTGCTTAGGGTTTAAGGAAGTGTTTCAGGGCTATTTCAATAGAAGGATCTTGGAAAATGGTCTAGTTGATCACACCAACTTTCTTTTGAGTTTGCGAAGCCAGTAAGACAAAGCACCTGCAAATATCCCCCAAAACTTGGTTGTTGCTGAAGTATTCAGGAATCTTGTATTTGTACAATAATTTAGATATAGCTACTCACGTGGTCTTCTGTTTCTGCACCTAATGTCGTTTCCGTTGTTGTTCTGAAGGTGAAGCTGTGCTGAGGTGCCGAATTCATACTCTTCTCCTGAACGTGGTGCCAATTAAGAGGTAAGTTGCTCTCATGGAGAAAAAGCATCTTTCCGTGCACGTTCACTGGTCAGTGATGTAATGCTGTAGCTGGATGTGTGATCTTAGTACCAAAGGACTGTGAAGTTACTGGAGGAGGAGATAAATTAATCTGTGTAAATGATCTGACACGTCTTTGTCAGAACAATTTGGAGCTGCTTCTGTGAGGAAAAAAAAACCCTGCCGCAATAGCAATGTGGAGTGAGCTAAGTGCATAAGTGATAATTCATTTGAAAGCCTCCAGACAGTGAGGGGGTTTGTGTGAGTCCTGAAATGCAATAATCTTATGTAGGACAAGAAATCATGAGTTTTTTGATCCTTCCAGATTTGGCTTGGTATCACCGCTCTTAACAATATGAATCTGATGGACTTTTCATGGAAAAGGAAAGATATTGCAACTACTTGCCCTTGCAGGGTTGAGGTCCTAGATCTTGATACTGAGAACAGACTCCATGTTCAGTCAAAATAGTTGTTGATCTCAATATTGCTAGATTTATGTCCTCTCCTCAACACTTCCAAAATCTGCTGCTGAGCTCTCATGACCTCATCAAACACTTTGAACTCTCACTCCCCTGCGTAAAGTTTCCTACTCATTTTATTCAGTTTACAAAATGCTAGAAGTCTTTATCCACAACATACTGAACAGTTTTATCTGAGATACTGCTATGTTTTCTTTTAATAATATTACTGTGAACATTTGCTGAGAGCAACCTATTGCTACTGACTGACTAATATTAACCAGATTTAGATTTTAAAATACTGTTTTCGTAGTGCATGCGTCTTTCAGTAACGCGCCTGAGTTTTATACACATAAGGTTTCTTTGAAACGTTGCAAAATACTGGGTCTGCACCATCGGCAGTGTTTTTTAGCTATATATTTACGTAGCAGCAGGCATGCTGGGTAGTTTATAAGCTTTTAATGGAACGCTGGCAGTTATTAGAGTTTTATGGGCTGGAAAACAGTGCAAATCAAAGAGCTTTGCTTACTGTTTATAGCATTTTTTCCCTGAATCTAACGATATTTATATCACTTTTTCTATCTTGCTTTTTTTTTCTTTACATATTTACTTTCCCTTTCCCTGATATATTCATAGTGAGCAGACTATTTTCCATAAAATATACTTAGAACTACAATATGCCTGTCATTGTTGGGCCCCAGATTAGGCCAAAGATGATTTGTATCAAAGATGGTAAGGAACAAAGATGTTCCATATCCTATAATGTCATAAATGTGTATTTTTCTTAATAAGGGTGTGTTTATATCTTTAGCAAGTATTTCAGGGCATCGGTAGTTGTGCTTTCCTTATGGTCCTAAGGGCTGCCACTTTTACTCACTGCCTGCTGACTGTTACCTGGTCTTCTCATTCTTTCAGTAGTGGAACTTTTCAGAGCACATCATCTCCATCATCATGGGTTCTGAGTCTCATATGCTAAAAATATCAAATGTTTCATGGCATCTAAGTGTAGCCGTAGCATTCAAAGGGAAGACTTAGTGTTCTTTTACATATACTCTGCATT